GTTTACACTGACACAGATATATATATATGTATACAGTATAGAACAAAGAGGTCACATGACCAGATACCGTTGCAAAACTTAGAAGTGGTATCTTGGCACCCCGGGGTGTTGGTTTAGAGTAGGGTTGTTTTGTTCAATTAAGATGGATTCCTTGATTTTGTGCTTGTCTGTGTTTGGTTCTTTGTTTAAAATGACTTAGATATACTATGGTTTTTTGAGTTGCAATGGTGAAAAACATGGGGCGGTTTTTTATTGTGTTCTGTGAATCTGGTTTCCAATTTTCTTCCTGTTTCTTCGATGTAGAATTCTGGGCAGTTATTGCATGTTATTTTGTAAATGATGTTGATATTGTGTGATTCTAAATAATTTTTGTTTAGTAAAGATTTTAATCTAGTGCCGGATTTTTGTGAGAATTTGACGTTGACAGGAATATTGTGTTTAATGGCTAGTTTTGTCCAAGTGTAGATAATTCTTGAGCTGGTTTCAGGAACAAAAGGTAAACTGCAGTGTAATGTACTGTTGTTGGGTTTGTTAGTATTAATTTTGTTCGTGAGTTGAGTTTTGTTGTGGGGAATGTTGGAAAGTTTTTCAACAATAGCTGGTGGAAATTTATTGGTGTGAATGAAGGAATGATTTATGTGGTTGATTTCTTCATTTATGTCGTCCGTTGAACAGAGTCTTTTGACTGTTTTTATGAGGTTTTTGAATGTATTGATTTTTGACTGAGTTATAGCTGGCCACATCATCAGCAGAAACCCTGTTAAGTAATGACAGTATTACTTGTTGTGTAACTGATGAGTCTGTGAGTCTGCTATGTGAGCATTCTTCTTCTTTAACTGTCATTGCATCTGTTTTTCAGATCAGAGCCCAATAGATCTTCAGCAGATAGCTCCGGCCACCACTGACCATAGCTGGAACTTTGCTACTCTTTCACATGTCATCATTAGTTACCTAATTAGTCCCTCGATTACTTGCATGTTCAAGTTTCCAAAATGTTTGACTTGCAGTGTGTGCAGCTTCTATGGATGTGATCAAGATTTACTTTTTGACAGTCTTTGTTGAGGCACATCTACCTATTAAGCCCAAAAAATGCTGTAACAGGGCTTGAAAATAGATTTGGTGCTGACAAAGATAATAGTAGTGATAGTACTAATAGCCTTATGACATATTATAAAATCAAGAACAAAGTCTAATTTCAAATGGACAAGGAAGAAATTGCATAATTTGATTTGAGAATCAAAAAAGAGATAATCAATTTGTGTGTGTGTGTGAGAGAGTGTTGCTGGTAAGGTGGTATGGATACTGAAACCCTGTGACTTTTTGACTACTTATAACTCATGACTAAAATAAGTTACCATTTTATGGATTTTATATATATGGATAAGCAGCTTCCAGACTTTAAAATTGTGTATGCAACACCATCTAAGAAACAATTACTGGAATTTCTTGATCTTTCCCTTTCTACCCAAAAAATACCACTTTGCCTCTGGTTGAGGGAAAGATCTTCTGTTAAAAGATTATGAATAATGAAAATTAAAAGTGAAGAATGTTAAATTTGTTGTGATGTTTGTTTTTTTAACATAACTAATGCCTCATAATTCATTAAAGGTAGAAATACGGGTATAGAAAAAAAATATTCTTTAGGAAAACTATAATGTAATTCAAATAGTGCACTAGAAAACACTTCTGATGTTTTGAATAATGTCTGTTGTATTACATGTTTGCCATCTGATAACCATGTACACTACAGTCCTTCCTTGTTCTGTATAGGATATCTGGTTGTTTGGGTGAAACGTAACCTTCCAAAGAAATGTCAGCATCAGATAGGAATATTATGCTCATCTCCAGTCAGAAATGAAAACAGTTTAAGGAAGTGGAAGTTACTTACTGCTGTGGCACATTTTTGCTTGTTGGTTGCTTTAGCTCTAATTGCAGTCTGTCCTCATATTGTAAATATCTCTGAAAGTATTATCAGTAAACTCTGGAGACATATGGGATATGTATTTTTGGTTCTGTTCATCTTACAAAAGATTTTAAGTAACTCACAGTCTATATATATCGTTGGAGGAGTATTCAGAAACAAACTATTTCCAGCAGATATAAATGACATAGAAAAGTTTCAAAAGAAGAAGAAGAAACTTGTGGGATTTCGTATCTTGCGGTCATTACTCTTGAAACTTTGTAAGTTGTGTGTGTGTGACAGAAATAAGTTTAACAATGTTTTTCAGTTATTAAAGCTTTTATACACTCTAAATTAAATAGAATTTCAAGTTATTTTGGCTTACTTGTTATTTTCTGTAAAAATCCATCTCAGATGGACTTTGATCATAAGTAAATGCAATATTTTTAAAAGTTGGATTGGAATATTGATAAAGAGATAGTACTCATTATGTAGATATTAGCTGTTTGAATAAGAAGTTTATAGAAAAGAACTTTAAAGCATAGATATTGGTAAGAATATGATGTTTAAAAGGAATGTTGAATTATGAAGTTTGGGTTAAAAAAATTAATCCTTTTTGGATCAGTGAGCACCTTTCAGGTGTTGAGTGCACACTTGCATATCAAATTTCAAAATTTAAGTGAGAATGATAATTTATTAGTTCTCACCCTTTTATGACCTAATAACCATTCAGTTGAGTACATTACAAACTGATTAGTACATTGGAATGAGTGGGAACTGCCTGTTGTAGAAAAAACACATGTGGCTACCATTGTTAGAATCCACATGTAGCCATTCCACCAATCCGAACCAGGGATAAACCACTAATCAAAACATATTCTCCATAATCCACCATGATACAATAAAAGACCTGCAACAGCTGACACACACACTGACTCGAAGACAAAAGACAGAAGACTTTTGAAACATCGTCCTCTACGCTTGTCATGAATATTCTGTTCAAACAATCTATCAGAGATTAAAAACTGTTTGGATAAATATAGAGTGAATAAAGTGGTGTGAAAAGTAAGTTATGGTATGAAGGGATAATTCATGATCAATACAGACCACAGAGAGGTCTCTGACAGTGATGAGATTTCACTAGATGTGGATAGGGCTGTTTAATCCCATCTTTTTTTTTTTGTAAAAAAATTATCAGTGAGAATCTATCACAGTTAGAGCTCTTTCTGTGGTCATGTTTATCATGAATTATCTTTCTCATACCATCTGACACCTACAGACCTGAATAAGGACTTAGTGTGGACCCTGAAACATTGTCCCTTAAGAAAGTAAAATGGCCAGAGATATTTGTGAAAATTTCAGCAAACAAGATCAAATAAAAGAGTAATAAGAAAGTTTCTCATTAAGGATAGTGATTGTGTATTATCATTAAATATAATATTATATAATTATTGAAATAATATTACAAAATACAATGAATCTGATTGTGAAACAAAATATTTGATGCTTTTTCAGGTATTCCACTTCTCATGGTGTTCTATTTGTCGGTCTTTGGTTATCAAAACTGGATCAACAGATCTGAAAAACTTTTGTTTTCTTTTGCAGTTGTCCGCGCCTTCCGAGTAGTAAGTTGCTAACTTGATATTTTGTACCTACTGTAAAAGTAAATTTGGAGTTGATTCCAGAATTTATTCACATAATACATAAATAGCCTTTATCATAAAAACATTTTGGATATTTTGTTAAACTTCATTATTTTTTAATATACAGGTGATGTTGCTTTTTAAACTGTAATCCAACCGAGTTTAAATCTTATACCTAAGAATTTAATAGTTAACTGGTTAAATGATTTTGGATTTTCATTTTAAGTACTTTTACAGTTTTTAGTCAGTATTGAGTGTACACAGCAGAGAAGTATTTTAGACACTAGTGTTCATTTTGTATAATCTGAGATTTATCCGTGAAAATAATGTTATAGCTATTTTTGTATATACATAAGTAATTTACAAAAGTGTTTATGATTTAGATATGGTACTCACCATTCTACAGAACAAGGAACTATTGCCTCACACTACTACTGAGAAGATTTTTGTGAATGTCACAAACTTTCAAATAAACTCCCACACCTACATGTATTAATGTGAAGTGTGCCAGCCTATGATGTAATCATCATTAGACTAGTATTTCACTAACAGGAGGGTGATGCATCGACCATGAACACTAGCATTACAACAAAGGCTCGTACTTTTCATTGGCACTACTTCGTTATGACTTTTTTTTCTTAAGAATAATTGCATTTTTATGCTTATTATTTTAAACTTTTTTTATTATTATTCATAATGTAGTCTTTTTCTCTTTAGTTTCTTTAATATGAGAATGAACAATACCAACTTTTAAACACTTCATTTAAAACTTTGATTTAAATTTGACTTTTCCCTTTTAATCAAACTTGTATTTTGGGATGCATATTTCAGTATCTTTGATAAGGTGTTTTAACATTATGATTCGTTTGTATCGAACCTTATGGTTGTCATTAAGTGCTATACAATTTTGTCGTTACACCAAAGACGTATTTACCATAGACATACCAGGCTATTGTTTATTCAAGAAAAACATAGGTGGTTTTGTAGATCATCTGGATTAAGAGTTCATGTTTCCATGTTTTACTGTCTCCCAAGGTTGTGACACGTCTCAGCAGAAGCCATTCAATACTGTAATAGTGAGTGAAGGCACTCTGATGGTCAGTGATGTCCCTATCAACACAGGCATCCTTTACTGCACATGAAAGGAGGTTTTAGTGACTTGCATTCAAATGTTATTAATCTACTTTTTGTGTATGTTATACCAATTAGTATATCATAAAATCTTAGCTAATATAATGTATAATAATTGAAATGTGACTGTATTTTACAAAATACTAGTCAACTAAAACACAGCCAAGACCGGTCACTTTGTAAAGACTAAAGGTCATGTTTGTATTATTGGATACGGTAACATGAGT